AGGGATAATAATTATAATATCTGAACCAGTTTCAGTCAGTTCGGTTCCAAACGCCACTCTGAATCGGTTATTGGAACGGTTCTATCAGTTCGGCTCACTCCAGTTCGCTTCAGCTTGCAGAACCGGAGCTGAACCGATAGAGTCGTTCCCATCTCTAGCTGTTACATACCGTTACGAATTACGAAGATTTGATTATAATAAAATCTGATGACATAATTGTTGACAAATAATCGCATTGTTTTAAAATAAACAATAAAATAATGGAGATCCTATTTTAATTTACGATATAATAAATAAAGTAAATTTTTAAAATTGAGCAACGATATATATAATGCCTGTATGGATTTAAAATTTGAAAAAAATCAATCATACATGTATGGAAATCGTTAGTTTATAAAAAAACCTTACGTTCCATACATCCATACGGGCTTCTGTAACACCCGCCCATATATGCATGCAATGCGATGCAATGCATGCAGTAACAGTAATGTAATGTTAGGCGATCACTTTGTTGTACAATTATTATTATATAGTTACGCCTTTTTTTTATCTCGTTCCATTTCTTCAACTCTAAAAGCCTTAAAGTCTTACTGAAATGAATGAGGAAGCCTTTTCTATTGATGTGTTACATGATGAACAAAAGAAGTCACGAAAATCATCACCACATAATTGTAGTCCTATTAGTATGATGAAAATCTCACCGAATGGAAATTATATCGTCACTTACAGTAAAGACGACAAAACAATCGTCGGATGGAATGTTGAAGATAAAAATATAATAGATGGCGAGCATATAGAAGTTAACCATGTGTTCCATATGTGTGTGTCTGATGAAAGGATACTAGCGTATATTAACAACAAATATGAAATTAGTAAGTGTAATTAATGATTATTTTGATTATTTTGTTAATAAAGAATTATGATGTTCATTTATGACGAATTTTTTATTAGTAATCTTTGATATGAATAATAAACAACCTCAAGAAGTCAAATTGTATTTTGAATTTGATGCAATGGAGGTACGATTTTGTGAATTTAACGAAGGTGGAAAACTCATTTTATTTTGTACAGTTAGAACAAACATTAAATATGATTATGTCAGTATTGTTTGTATTTACTCAATACGAGCTAAAAATAAATCAACACGACCTAAAAAAAGTGAATGTCAAACGATTTATAAAATACCTAAAGAAGCGGAGATCGTAAGCATATCAAAGCATAATAAAATTTGGCTGCGTTTAGATCATAATCTATATGAATGGAATCTTCGTACTGGTCATACTACAATTATATTAAAAAATATATATGAGGTAATTAATAAATTATAAAATTATTGATTTCTGTAAAATATTTATTATCAAAATTTATTTATTCTTTAATTGAACAGATTAAAACAAAAGATATTAGAATCTCTTATAATAAAGAACTTACTTGTCTGAAAATGAACGATGACAAAATTATCATTCATTCAAATAAACTTGGATTTTCTACTACGTCAATTGATTTAAATAATGGTATAGCCTTTTAACTATAATATTATGTAACAATCTATACTTTTGCATTAAGTGTTTCTTGTATATTTGTCTATTTTTAGATAAACTACTATGTGATTTTATGAATCATCATCATTGCTTATTACTTTCATTATTTGATTATCCTTTGATTTGGAATTCTAAAACTAAATCCCATGAAGTTTGCTTCAAGAAAAATAATCAATTAAACAAAATTGAGTTGCCGAGCAAATTTTATGATTCTGAGTCAAAAAACTATAGATATGTAATTGTAGACGGACATGTTCGTAGAATTGAATTTAACGCCGAATTATCTAATCAGCAAGATGGTTTTTTAAGAAAATATAAATTAGATAAAGGTTCTATTATATGGAAAATTAAAATTGAAGGAATACAGAAGTTTAAAATCGAGGAAAATCTTAATAATAAAGATATCATTACAGATGATAGTTATATGCGTATGAATAAATTTAAAAATTACGCAGAATCATTTATTAAGTATATTAAGAAAATTAAATTAGACAATGATCTTGTTAAACTTAAAAAATTTGCAAAGAATTTTGTTGATGAGACATGGATAACTGAAACTGAAGAAGTATACTTAAATTTTATTAAATGGATAATTAATTTTGAAGATAAAGGTGAAAAATTAGAGGAAATTAATTATTTAATTTTAATTAAAGATTTTATTAAAATGGCTCAAATGGAAAGGGTACTAATCAAGGATTTTATTGTAATGATAACTAAAATCGAAGAGATTGATCATAGTAAATGGAAAAATAAAATTGGAGAATTAATGAAAGGTTTTATTAAAAGGATAACTAAAATTGAAAAGTTAACGAAAGATTCTGATAAATTTACAATTAAGATTACAGAAAATTATTTGCATATTAATGAAGATTTGATTCATTTATTTGGTGCAGATAGATATTTAAGGGATGGAGATAACAAAGAGGGCCAAAATAGTTTACAAGATATCAAGAAATTTGCTTGCAAATCATTAAATGATAATAATATTATTATATTAACAGAAATTGGCATTTTTGTTTTCAAATTAAATAATAGTGAAAAGTTAATTTCTTTGAATTATTTTTATCATATGTACCAACCGGAGCAAATTATTGAAAATATCAGTAAAATGCCTGGATACCCAAAAGATGATAAAGATAGCAGTGGTTATGATGAATTAATTAATGGATGGGTTTCATTTGTTCAAGTGAATAATGAAGAATTTTTAAAATATGGTTCAGCATTATTAATGTTTGCAATTAAGGTACACGACTCAGACTTAATAGATGATATATATCATAAGTGTTTAAATCTTTTTAATCAAGAAAACAATAAAGCGTTTTTAAGTATTTTTAATGCATCAATGCCATTATTGAATAAATACTATCCTGAATATATTGCAAGATATTCATCAGATACAAACATGTTAATAGATTCTCTTGAATATAAAGTCGAACATCTTGCTACTTTTCATCTTTATCCTTTTTCCAATATTGAAATAGTCGATTTAACGCCTTCTATTTTTTGGACAAAATATACCATTCAAGTGAATGATATGCGTTATTATAGTGGGCGCAATATTCGAAAATTAATGATGACATATTTTGCAACTGAAGCAATAATATTTTGTTTGACATTTCCAATTTCTTTTTCTCTACTCCATATTTTAAACTATTTTCATATCATTAATGAAATTTACGCTGATGGGCTTTCTAAATGCTACTATAAGTGTTATCATTATATAAACGAATCAATCTTTTCTGAGAAAATGATGCCTACAATTACCTTTATGATTCCTTATATCAAATTTGTTAGTTATCCACAATTTTACAGCTGGTGGGAATTAATTAAGCCTAATCCTAGTTCATTTGTAGAAACAATAAATCGTGAGATTTACAAAACATGGAATGGTGAGGCATTAATTAATTTCAAGTGGAATGCATATGGAAAATATTATTATTATGCAATTTGGATGAAATTTACTGCTTTTCTCGGATGCTTTATGGCTGCTTCAACATTTTCTGAAAATCTCGTATCTGAAGATATTAAAAATCGACTTTTAATAGCCTCAACTGTTCTTGGATTTACTCACTTTACTTTCGAAATTCGTCAGCTTATTTATGACCCAATTAAATGGATTATTGATCCTTGGAATTATTTTGGTAAAAACTTATATACTTATACATCATTATTAATATCATAAACACCTAGGTTATCTAATATATTTATAATTCTTCTTTAAGATCTTGGAGCATTTTTAGTTCCTTCCATTACTTCCATTTATTGGTTATGTACCAATGATAAACCCTTCTTTTGGCTTTCAATTTCATGTCTCTTATTAGATTTTAAATTTTTATTGTTTTTAAGAGCATTTGAATTATTTGGTGTCTATTTTGTAATTATCGTTAGTGTTGCGAAGAAGATAGCTTCCTTTTTAGTTATATTATTTATTATGCTTTTGAGTTTTGCGCATGCCTTTTTGATTCTGTTACAGCCAAGAAAAGATTATAATTTAGAATATCCACCTGCAAATAATGATGATCCCAATAATCCTTGGGAACTAACTGATAGTTATAATCAAGTACTAGAAGACGGAACCATTTCATCAATTCCATCATTTGTTCAACAACCAGATTTGAATACAAATATGTTCACTGAATACGGAACTTCATTATTATCAATGTATTTATATCTCACAGGTATAAATTGTTTTCTTTCTAAACTATAATCTTTAATAATAGTTAACAATATCTTTATTTAATAGGAGATTCGAATGCCTTGTCCAACTGGGAATATAAAAATAATCCACCTCTTACTATACTAATGGTTTTATTCTCTTTATTAATTGCTGTGTATCTTATGAACTTGTTGATCGGATTACTCAGTAATGCTATTGAGGAAGATAATAATCGAGTTTCGTATTTTGTACAAAAAGCGAAGGTATTTATTTAGTATTACCTTATATATTAATTTTATGTTTTATACTAAATATATATCAATATAGATTTTGGCAGAAATCGAATTATTTTACTTATTTCCAAATCAGAGGCGTTGGAAAACCTGGTTCCCTGACGTGATGTAAGTTTTTTATTGCAATTTTTCAAAATTATTTCACGTTTATTTAAATTATTTCAACTAGATATTATCACGCCGATGTTGATGAGACACGTAGAGAAATCAATGAACTAATTAAAGATGGTGAATGGAATTTCGATGATTTTTCAGGAACGAAGCAAAACTTGTTAAATAAGCTAAGAATTCTAAATAAGCAAGACATTCAAAAGTTAGATGCAATTAAGAAACAATTAGATGAAATCCAGGAAGCATTTAGTTCAAAAGTTGATTTTTTTAAATTCTAGCCGCATTTTTCTTTTTTATGTTATGAATATAAAATAAAATATACTTTATTTCTAAAGCGATAATTGTCAGAGAATAATTAGAATAATTACACGGCCGTTATGATCATTATAATTTAGCCGCAGAGTAATTTGTCACGGAGAGAGTTTATTTAAACTATTATCATGATATTACAATTTAAACTATTAATTAAATTATATAATAAAATTTACTTTAAAGATATTATACTATCCAATTTACCAGCATTTTAAAAAATAATAATAATTAAATGTATATAAAAGCAGTATAATCGTGAAGTTAAATGTAATAGTTTTAATGTTTATACTGTATATACATGTATAATTTAATGTGCATAGCGTCTAAAGACTTTATAAACGAGTAACTTTGCCGATATGCCGATAAATGATAACGAAATTAGATTTACTAAAGTATTCAATTCATTCTGTTGTTACTTAGAGTTTATTATTTTTTATTTCTTGTTTATTGTTAGATTGTTTCTTGCTCATTTTTTATATAGATTAATTTAGCCCGTTGTTAATCTTAAACGGTCTGTTAACACAGAATATTAACAGGGAGTTTAGGATAAACTAGTTATTTTTAAAGGTCAGGTAGTAGTCTTTATCGATATAGATTTAAAGAAGATTGAATTGAAAAAGTAACAATATTTTAGAGATAAATGTTATTGTTTTATTAAAGAATTCTGAAATTTAATAGGTCAAAGATACAGAGTATTTATACAAAATAAAATAATAGTAAATAAAATATGATAAATGTAATAAATGAAATGTGATCACTAATTTGTCAGGTCAAACAAATTAAATCACATGATTGGCTATGGTAGATCGGCGCAGCATGAATCACACGACTTCCCATCAAAAAATGTCATGTCGGCCCGCATTAAGACTTTTGCTGGCCCATATTCATGATCATGCATGTTGACGAACCTTAATGTCGGCCATTTCGTGACATTTTTTGATGGGTACGCCTTCACCGTTT